TCTTAGTGCAGAAGCATTAATTGCCTAAAAGCTTGGCTTTATCTCTTCCTAATTACTTGGCAAGTACTTGGGTGATTTTCCATGCAGTTGAGGTAGGAGCTATGTTCTGTACGATTAACACAAGAGCTTGTAACAACAGTGTGTCTGTGACATCAGGTATGTGTATCTCTTGCTGTGACTTAGGAAGCTTTGCTGCTGAGCAGATTCCCAGAACTAACTGTGAGAAAAGCATTTATTCTGGCACTGGTAATGCTCTCCACAGTCTTTCTACAAACCTGACGACAAAATTAATGTCAGGAGTCAAAAATTTTTTTTTTTAATTTGCTGTTACCTTTTTAAGAGACATTAGTAAGAATTATTGAAACAGATCCCTAGATAAATAGATATTTCACAAGCACCTTACTTGAATCCTTCATTAAATATACATTTCTGGCTACAGCTTTAATATTTTTTTTTTTCTTACTGTAACTTTTTGTAGACATAGTAGTGAGAATAAATCTCCTGTAAAAGTTATTTCACAATCACTCTACACTGTTGTCAGAAATGTAAATAAATGAAGGAGTGTAGAGAACAGTGTCACTATTACAGGATGTCCAAGTACCAATTTCAGTGAGCAAGAAGGGAAGTTTTGTGAGATGGAGGTAAACAGAAACCAGATTAGACATGGAACTTTTTTTGTGGTCTGCCTTTGGCTACACAAGCAGGAAAAGTATCTCAAAAAACTCTCAAAATAACATCAAGAGTGAAAGGGTGAAAATGCCAGCTTCCCAAACTACCTGAGGAACCAAAGCCTTAGGTAGTTCAGGGAACTGAGAGTAATACATTCTGTTGGCTTATCTTCTTCGAACTATTTTCAGTATTGCAGATCCTTTGCTTCCTGATAAAATGTATTTGTTGGCCTATTGTTAAACCTGATCTGGGAGCTAAGCACTCTGAAGCAGCATAACCTGAGGTAAATCTGACATGCCACCAGCCATTTCCTTGATCCGTCAGCTCTGTAGTACCCACCTGGAAAATACCAAACACATCAGCCGGACTCTACCGAAGAACCCTAACAGAGTTTTCTCCTATTTTAAGTCCCTGGATGTTCTGCTTATGCACATGCTCAAGTCAGATGAGAAAAAGGGATGTGCTTTTTTCACTTAGAGCTTTAACTTGCCCAAGGTGATAGCTAGGATAAGGTGATCGCCATAGAATACCAGGAGGGAAGGTGGCTGCAGTGAATGGAAATTAAATAAATACCTGACATGGAAATGTTTCAAGAAGTGTAGGTTTACATGCTGATGCTCTTATACTAATTAATTTTAAAAAATAGCATGCCTACAAGCTCAGCTGGGTGGGAGTTGCAGCGCACTGCTCTTAGAGGTTGCTGTAAAGGATCCCAAGGGTCCAAATTTGTTCCACCCTGTTTGGCATCCTCCCCTGCTGCTGTGCCTGATGAGCTAAAGATCTACTTTGTATAGGTTTGAGTGGACTGTGATAATTTTATATTTTTCCTTGATCTTCTCTTCCTAGATCAAAAAAAGTCAAAGGAGCTATTTTGATGGTCACCATGACTGGTATTTTTCACTACCATGGGCAGTGAAAGTGCTGAAGGTTTGTGTTGGCTGGGGAAGCTGGAGGCAGAGCAGTGTGGCCAGATACCATGCCACGGCCTCTTCTCAGAGTGTACAGTTACAGCCTGGTGTTTGTTTTAAAATAGTAATCTAGCTTCAGATTGGAAAACTTTTTTTTTTTTTTATCTAGTATGGTGTCCTGTCAGTACTATAAGACCTTTGTGTTTGCCAAAATAGGGTGGAAAAATGATCCTGGAAGTTTTCCATGCAGATAATTGGCCTTAAAGCATAAACATGCTAAGTAAAGAGCCATGATTTTTGAAAGCCTTATCACGGTCTTTGTGGGAGTAACTAGTGCATGAAAACTCTATCGTTAGCAGAATACATGTGATATGGATACTGGATATGCATACATTTATTTTACTGGTGTGGCCTTTCCATAGTACTATTTCTGTGACTGGCTTTACGTGGCTCACCTGGTTTGAATGTCAGCAAGCTGCTCAGTAAAAAGGCGACCTGTGCAAGGCCCATCTCTCCAGTTCCCTGTGCTTTTACACAGGCTGTGAAGACTTGTTTTCAAAGAGCATGCATGCAGCATGCCTCTTATCCAAGCCTTGAGATCTATACCTGGAAATACGACATTTGTCTGTCCTCTGCTCAGTCCCAGGCTAGTTGCTTTCATTTTGGAAACAGACTTCCCCCTCTATTTGTGTTCACTCTCAGAGGTAGCACAGTAATGCCATCTCTAACAGCAAGAGCAGATCTGCGTTGGGTGTTCTCCATGGAAGGCAGGCATTCTGGAATAGCCTAACATTGCAGGACACCTGATGATACACATAAAAAGTACCTGTACATGTCCTTTTTTAAGGCAGCAACACTAGAGAAAGCTGAAGTGTGCAGCATCGATCATTAAATTTTTTTTCACCATCAGGCAATGTAAAAAAAAAATGAGATTTTAGGAAGTTGTTTTAAGTCCTTAAAAGTCAACTAACTTTAGTCTAGGAGTTGTGCTCACATAAGCATGATTTCTTTCTAACAACAGGCAAAAGATGTTCTGCAACAGCAGGAATTTTATGAATATTTCATGAGTAGCTTAAGTTAGAATTTGCAGGATTAAAAAGAGGAAACTGGGTCAGATGCACATGCATCTAACTTCTTTAATGCTAAATTTATATATGTTGTATTTTGAAAGCTGAAGAAGGAGCAGGTTTTTGGGTGTGGAGGTTTTTTTTTGTTTTTTAATTTGAAGATCTTATGGAAAAATTATTTTCACCCTTGAAATTTTTTGGACCAAATCCCAGGACACTTGTGGAGTTTCATAGTGTGTGCAAGTACTTCAGGAGATGATTTTTCAGCAAACCTGACACCTTTCTACATAAAGATGACGCTGCTGCTTTCTTAGATATATCGCTGGATTTGAAGGATCGGGGAGCAAGGACAGCAAGTGCTGTATCCTTCTAGAGCTGAATTTGAGGCGAGTTCTCAATGAACGCAGCTCTTGCTGTAAAACTCTTGAGGGCCTGCTGGAGAGTAACCCAGCAAATAGAAGAATAATGGGTGCTGGTGGGCTATATGTATTGAGAAGGGCCAAGGGAGGAGATCAGTGCTGCTGACTCTGGCCTCACATGCCTCTTCCCAGGGACCTCCACTCTCCTGGCAGCACTGCAGTCCATAGCTTCCTATTTGGGCTGCCAGGGGCTTATTAGGAAGCGCATGTGATTTGTGCTCCCCTATGACGTTAGGGCTGGTTGTAGAGCAGTGATAATCACTGGTGATGGAGGGAGGGTAACATGCGTGCAGGTTTCTTCTGTGGAGCGTTGCAGCACAGCTCCCAAGAGGTCTCCTGAAGATAAACGTATCATATTGTGCGTACTTGATGATCTTGAAGGTCCCTTCCAACCTAAAGGATTCTATGATTCTATGTTAGTGTGCAGCTGATGGACCTGCAGACCACTGCTGTTTGAGTTAGATGGTGTTTGCAAGTATTGCTACCAGCTGTAATTGCTAAAGCCACTGCCAGTGCTCAGACAAATGAAGTAATAACCTGAAGTTCACACTTTAAGGAAAGGAAGGTTTCTTACTGCACTGTTTTTTTCTGAAGATCAGTTACACGGAAGAGATGGAGACTGTAGTGATGACATCATCATGGTACAGTAGTGGTCTTATAAACCGAACAAATTAAATGCAAGAGAGAGATTCCTAATCATGTTATTTCAGATCTCTGCTAAGACCTGTAGATGTGTTAGTGGTTCTCTTGCTTAACCTAAGTCGGGTTTTAATAGTTCTACCTCTCTCATCGGCATTGTGTGCAGTAATACTAGCTTTCATTTTGATTGAAGACGTGGTGATACAGAAAATGTAAAAACCTACAATATATTATAAGCTTCTTTGGAGCTTTATCTAGTCAATATGACTGTTCTGAATGTTTTTACCCACACATTTTTACTCTCATGTAACTGTTGTTAACTGGATAATATAGTTTGTCTTCATATTTTCAACCATGTAGACATTTTTAGACTTGATATATAACATGTAAATGCCTAAGCTATAACAAGGCTTGTAATGGTCTTTGTGGATTTTAAAAATACACAAACAAACAAAAAGTGTTTAAATGTAATTGCTTACTTAGCATTATTGGGGTAAAAAGCATTTCTAAGTTTAATATTGTGGGTTTTTTCTGCAATGCAAGTAACCACCAGTGCAAGATGGACTGTCTGGTATCTTTGCCAGTGCAAATGCTGAGCACTCAGTGCAACAGGAGCCTGGGGATTGTTACCCTCCCTCTGTGCTGGCTCAAAAAAAGCTGACATAGTGTTATATTAAAGGGACCTGAACAAACTGTTGGGATTTTTCTTCTTCCCCTTACTTCTCCTCCTCCCTCCGAAACACCTCCAGTAATAGCATGCTAATACAAAACAGATGAGCCAAAGAAATGGATTTTTTTTGTTGTTCATTTAGGCTTTTGTCCTTTTAATTCCATGGCAAATGTTTGCTTTTTAAGACTTTACTCCATCACATGGTGTGCTTTATCTGGGCTGAATGCTAATGTCTACACTGAATACTAAAGCATCACTTTAAAAAAAAGGCAATAACATTAATTGACAAGGAGCAAAATCCCAAGGGCAACTAGACCCTGTTTCTGGAGTTCTTTAGCTAGAATTGGATTGCTTTAGCTACAGCTTTTGTGGCTGACTGGCTTCCACCTATGCTTTTTATCGTAACATTGTGGGGTTTTAAAGCAGTTAAGTCACTACTCATTTGTTACTCATGAAGTGACTTCAAACAAAGTTTTGCTCGATAAAGATCAAGTTTGGTTTCTATTATTAAAATGTTGACTACTGCCTCTTTGCTAAGAATTATGAAAATTAATTCTGGTTTTATTGGGAATTGAAATAATGAGGTGTTGGTTGGTTTTTATCATTTTCTTCTTTCCTCTCTGTTCAGCTGTGAGGTCTGGCTGGCTGCCTCCCCCACCGCCTGCACTGCCCCCTCGACCTTCAGTATCTCAGGTATGGACAAAGGTTGAGCACTTTGCTGTCTATTTGCTTGTTAATTTTCCTGTTGCAGTGGTTAGCCCTAGCTGGCTTGGGCATGGCCGTTGTTCTTGCTTCCGAGTTAATGCAAATCTGCAGTTTGCTCTGCAGTTCCATACATGTTCTCCTTCACTGGTCTGTCTAGCCAGTGATTGCAGTGTCAAATTGCAGACCAATTAAATCTCTTTGTAGCGGTGTTGACATGCACCCACTAGAAAAAGCTGTAAATTAAAGGCTGGTAAGGCTAGTCTACTAATTAGAGTTTCATGCCTGAAAGGCATGGACTTGATACCTGCTATTTGCTTCTCAGGCTTCAAATGATCAGAGGGCATCTGCCAAGTGAGCCAGGGCTTGTACAAGTGTATTTCACCCATGTGTTTAAAAATAATGCTGAAAGGAAACAATGCCATGTCAGTTATGTTATTAAGTTTCAAACCATTAGCGGTATGCTTCTGTTTTGCCTTTTGGATGAGTTTTTGTTTGTCTTAGGGTATCACACAACCACAGCACAATGCAAATTGGGTAAATCATGCACATCTGCACCAGAATACTTCATGTTTTAGGAGATGTTGGAGGATCAGTGTCTTATTCTTTGTATGTTGTTGGCTCTGTTAAGTCTTAGGCAGCCGTGTGCTTCATATATTACTCCTTTAGGTGAAATGTATAATAGAAAACAAGTCCACAGGGGAGCTAACAGCCCATTACATATGAAAACTTTGTGTGACACCTTTCTTGGGCCAGAAACAGTCCTCCCTTGAGTTTTGGATCTACTCTTAATAATCTGCTCTTGAATACCTCCTGCTCCAGAGTGCTTGTGACAGAAATTATAATAGGCTTGTTGACACCCCTACCTCCACCAGCATCTTGTTGCCGTCTCTCTCCCCAGCCCTTTTTAGCGTCCGAGTGCAGCTAGCTTCTACCTTGAGGACTGCCGAGTGTCCTGGTTGGAGCTTGCGTGCTTCCCCCAAGGCAGCATGGCCAAAGCCATCCTGCTGACGCCACGCGCTGCTTTGTGTGCCCCTCTCTGGAGGGCATCGTTCCCCCCGGGCTGCCCCGGCGGCGGCCGTG